GGCCACGAAGGGCTGCAACGGGGCCACGAAAAAAAGCGAGGGGGCCACGAAGGGCTGCAACGGGGCCACGAAGGGCAGCGAGATCCCGATTCCTAGGTAATCTGTGAAGGAGTCTTGAGCGTGAGCGCGACTCCTGGGTGCCTGGGTGTCGGGAGCGCGGCGCTGAAGTAAAGTGCAAGAAATTCCAACGCAAGGGCGCTATTCTTCAGTAAATTCCTAACAAATCTCCAGCGAGAGCGCGACTCCAGAGCGCAGGAGGCGCGATTTCTAAATAAATCGTGAGGAAGTCCCAAGCGAGAGCGCGATTCTTCAATAAAATGCGAGGAAGTCTCGGGCGGGAGCGGGGGTCCTGGCTAAATTGTGAGGAAGTCTCAAGCGGGAGCCGTTGTTGTTGCAACCCGGGGGCCAGGGGGCCAGTTTGAGCAGGAAGACCTTCTTTGACAAAAAACAAAGAGCGAGACCCGGGGGGGGCACTTCAATGGAAAAAAATTATAGCCGGAGTGCAGTATCCCCAAACAGGGTTTTTAGACCCACTGCGGTTTCCAAGGTCGATTGCGTGCCCGCCTAGTGCGGGCTGGCATGGCATGTTAAAACATGCCTCCTCCTCCTCCTCCTCCTCCTCCTCCTCCTCCTCGTCCACCTCCTCTTCATCCCGAAAGGCATCTCGGAACCCAGAGTTGCGAGGATGTCTCCAGCGTAACGGGCTGGACCACCTCGCGCGCGGCATTTCGGACCCCAGAGTTGCGACGATGTCTCGGGCGAAACGTGCTGCGAGGAAGTCTCAGGCGAAACGGGCCGGACCACCTCGAGCGCGGCGTCTCAGAGCTCCGAGTTGCGGGGGCCTCCTGGTGCCTCCTGGGGCCTCCTGGGGACCTCCTGGGGCTTCCTCCGGGGCCTCCTGTGGCCTCCTGAACTCCACCTGAGGTTTCCTGAAGCATCTTGGGGCTCCCAGGGGGGATATCTAACCTGTGGCCGTTTGGGCCTCTCCAAATACAGGGGGGGCCACAGGAGCAGGAAAAATCAACGAATCGACACCGGATGTGTATTAACTTGACACGTTCTGATAGAGGGCCTCCTGGGGCCTCCTGGGAGCCTCCTGGGAACCACCTCTTGGGGCTCCCAGGGGGGATATCTAACCTGTGGCCGTTTGGGCCTCTCCAAATACAGGGGGGGGCCACAGGAGCAGGAAAAATCAACGAATCGACACCGGATGTGTATTAACTTGACACGTTCTGATAGAGGGCCTCCTGGGGCCTCCTGGGAGCCTCCTGGGAATCTCCTGCGGACCCCTGGGGCCTGTCCTGGGCGTCCTGCGGCCTCCTGAAGCTCTCTGGGACCTCCCCCTCCTCCTGCCTGCTCCCTCATGCACATCATCCGCCTCCTCCTCCTCCCATCCATCTCCTCCTCCTCCTCCTTCTCCTCCTCCTCCTCCTCCTCCTCCTCCTCCTCCACCTCCTCTTCATCGCGAACGGCATTTCGGAGCCTAGAGTTGCGAGGATGTCTCCAGCGTAACGGGCTGGACCACCTCGCGCGCGGCATCTCGGACCCCAGAGTTGCGACGATGTCTCGGGCGAAACGTGCTGCGAGGAAGTCTCAGGCGAAACAGGCTGGACCACCTCGAGCGCGGCGTCTCAGAGCTTCGAGTTGCGGGGGCCTCCTGGTGCCTCCTGGGGCCTCCTGGGAAACCTCCTGGAGCTTCCTCCTGGGCCTCATGTGGCCTCGTGAACTCCACCTGGGGTTTCCTGAAGCCTCTTGGGGCTCCCAGGGGGGATATCTAACCTGTGGCCGTTTGGGCCTCTCCAAATGGAGGGGGGGGGGGGGCACAAGAGCAGGAAAAATCAACGAATCGACACCAGATGTGTATTAACTTGACACGTTCTGATAAGCGGCCTCCTGGGGCCTCCTGGGAGCCTCCTGGGAATCTCCTGGAGACCCCTGGGGCCTGTCCTGGGCGTCCTGCGGCCTCCTGGTGCCTCCTGGGGCCTCCTGGGGACCTCCTGGAGCTTCCTCCTGGGCCTCCTGTGGCCTCCTGAACTCCACCTGAGGTTTCCTGAAGCTCTTGGGGCTCCCAGGGGGGATATCTAACCTGTGGCCGCTTGGGCCCCTCAAAATGGAGGGGGGGGCACAAGAGCAGGAAAAATCAACGAATCGACACCGGATGTGTATTAACTTGACACGTTCTGATAGAGGGCCTCCTGGGGCCTCCTGGGAGCCTCCTGGGAATCTCCTGGGGGCCCCTGGGGCCTGTCCTGGGCGTCCTGCGGCCTCCTGGACCTCTCTGGGGCCTCCTGAGGCTCGCAGGGTCCCATGGAGGATATGTAACATGTGGCCTTCTGGGCCCCCAGGCTGGACCACCTCTTGCGCAGCATCTGAGAGCTCAGAGTTGCGAGAATATCTTGTGCGAAACAAGCCGGACCACCTTGCGCACGGCATCTCAGATCTCAGAGTTGCAAGGATTTCTCAGGCGAGACGGGCCGGACCACCTCGCGCAGGGCATCTCAGAGCTCAGAAGCTCGAGGATGTCTCAGGCGAAACGGGCCGGACCACCTCGCGCGCGGCATCGGGGAGATCAGAGTTTCGAGGATGTCTCAGGCGAAACGGGCCGGACCACCTCGCGCGCGGCATCTTGGAGCTCAGAGTTGCGAGGATGTCTCAGGCGAAACGGCCCGGACCACCTCTCGCGCGGCATCTGGGAGCTCAGAGTTTCGAGGATGTCTCAAGCGAAACGGCCCGGACCACCTCTCGCGCGGCCTCTCAGAGCTCAGATTTAGGAGGATGTCTCAGGCGAAACGCTCAATCCCGGACAACTCAGAAACGAGAGTTGTGAGGATGTCTCAGGCGAAACGGGCCGGACCACCACATTTGTTTGAGGATGTCTCTGCTTAGCTTTCCCTCGGCCGGAATTAGCTTCTATCACAACAGCACCCCGTTCAGCAAGCTGTTTGGGGAACAATGTGCACCGGTGGGGGGGGGATCAACAATAATTATTCTTCAAGAGTGAGAGTTCAACAACAACAATAATTTGAAGACTGTTCGCCCTTATATGCTCGAGTGTCCAATAACGCGTATTTCCCAAACCCTCGATACCCGCCCTCTTCGTCTTCGATCGAACCCCTTTTGGGGGGTATACCTTTCTTCCCTGCAGGCCGGGCCCCGGCAAGCGGCGGGGCGGCCGCGGACCGTCGGCCTGGCCAGCGGCAGCGCTGATCGGCGGGGCGGCCGCGGACCGTCGACCCGACCCCAAGAGGGACGGACAGGGGACCGACCGACGACGACGACGACGACGACGACGACGACGTCGAAGACGACGGCGACGACGACGACGACGACGGCGACGACGAGCGAAAGCGAGAGCGAGAGAGAACGACAGCAGGGCCACAAGGACACGAAGTAGGGCACGAAGGGCGACAGCGGGGACACGAAGGGAATGCGTATGGGCCCACGAAGAGCGCGAACGACAGGGGGCCACGAAGTGCAGATAATGCGGGGCCACAGAAGGCAACTATGGGGCCACTGAGGGTAGCAACTGGGCCACGTAGGACAGTGAGGGGGACACAAATGGCGACAGCGGGGCCACGAAGGGCATGCACATGGGGCCACAACGGGCGCGACTCCTGGGTGCCTGGGTGTCGGGAGCGTGGCGCTTAGGCAAATTGCAAGAAATTCCAACGCAAGGCCTTTCTTCAGTAAGTTGCAGGCAAGTCTCCAGCGAGAGCGCGACTCCAGAGCGCCGGGAGAGCGATTCCTAAATAGATTGTAAGGAAGTCCCAAGCGAGAGCGCGATTGCTGAATAAAATGCGAGGACGTCTTGGGCGGAAGCGGGGGTCCTGGCTAAATTGTAAGGAAGTCCGAAGCGGGAACCGTTGTTGTTGTAACCCCGGGGGCCAAGGGGCCAGTTTGAGCAGGAAGACTTTCCGTGTCAAAAAACAAGGTGCGAGCGTCGAGGGGCACACTTTGATTGAGATAAAACAGTAAGCACTGGTGGGGGGATCAACCAAAATTATTCTTCGGGAATGAGAATTCAACAACAACAACAACAACAACAACAACAACAACAACAACAACAACAATGCTTACCGTGGAACCCCAGTTCAGCCACGCACACAGGGTCAGTGAATGACCGTTCGGTCTCCTCACTCTGATCATCACATCCTGACGTCCCTCACAATCTACTGGGAGTGTTCGGGCATCCACGAGTCGACACCATAACTTCGGACAGCATTCCGTTTATGGATGTGCTCGTGTTCCCGCTTCGTGGGGTAAGTAGTTATGCATCCCGCTCTGCGGGCTCTCTTGGTGGCCCGATGTGAATTCCACTTGGCGAGCTCAACAGCATGATGTGCATCCACCTCAGCAGCATTCACCTCCTTTTGCTGTTCCTCCTCCTCTGGCGCACTTGAAGGCAGAAAGACTCACAGACGAAAATCAGAAACGCAAACATGACACCAAGGACACCAGTTACGTCTCAAATATAGGGCTACCGAGGGAACCTGGAGCTCGCGACGGCCCCAGACCTCACATGATTTGTGTTTGCGGTCTTCTTGCGCGAAGGGAATTAATTCAGGGTTACTTCGACCCGAATGTCACCACCCAGACCCCTTCTGTCTCGAGCAAGCGAGAAACACTCCCCACCCTACCTCACCTTCACCCTCTACAATCAAAACTGAAAGCAAGGTTGCACGATAAGTGTGCGAGGGCCTTGGAGGGGCCATGCCGACACTTCTCGAGCGGGGCGCGGCCAGCGAAAGTGGCCAAGGACGGGCCGAAGGGAAAGGATGCAAGGGAAACCTTGGAAAGTCCCTCATCCTTACTATCAAAGTTCACTGTGTACCCTTCCAACTGCAGGAGTGGCCAAGGACGGGCCGAAGGGAAAGGATGCAAGGGAAACCTTGGAAAGTCCCTCATCCCTACTATCAAAGTTCACTGTGTACCCTTCCATCTGCAGGCGCAAGCAAGACTGTCCAACAATCCATCACCCCCCGTTGATCCCAGAGCCGCACCCTCGTATCGGGATTCTTCCAGCGGCGCTTGCCGCAGAGCGACAGGAACACGACCACCACCAAGGAGGGCGCCACCAACTGTCGGCACAAGAACCGCACAACAATGCCGCCGCTGAAGACGCAGGCAGTCCGGAAGACCCGCAGTTCGAAGGTGAGGACAGCAACAATGTGCAGGAGGCTCTCCACGGGCTCGAACCACTCGATGGCTAGGTTGTTGAACACAGACAGGACCTGCAGCCCGGAGAACGTGAACCCAGCAAGGATCACCACTGCAATCTTCGAGTGCGTCTGCTGGAACACGTCTCTGTTGAGCGCGAAAGTCAGAGTGATGACGCCTGCAATGAGCAAGACGATGGTGATAACCACGACGACAGCTGCAGACGTCGCAACATTCTCGCAGGGCTCGCACGTGCCCGCCTCAGTCTCGAACATCTCTGGAAGGCACTCGCCGCAGGCGACCGTTCGCGCGTCGCGGCCCGTGGCGCACGTGCCAGGCGCGCCTCCAGGGCAGTGGCGCCAGTCGGAGCAGTAGTAGACCGTCAGTGCGTCTTGTGGCCTCGACATGAAGCCCTCTCGGACTTTCGGATGCTCGCCCAAACCAGCCTCGCCAGCGCTGGGGAAGTTGGCCTCGTCGCTGCCGAAGGCGCAGTCCATCGCCTCCGGGCACGCGGCGCAGACGCCGCTGCTAAGGTAAGTCCCCGCGGGGCAGAGGCAGTCTGCGGAGGAGCGCGCCCTGGGGTACTGGGTGGTCCTGGGCTCGGTGCACTGCGAGCACCTCTGAGCATCGCTTGACCGATCCCGGTCCCCACCGGCGTGGCCTCGGCCCAACCGGCCGACTCATCCATCAAGGTGGGGATATGTGCCTGCTCCTCTGGGTTTCGCGGGGCACATCCCCACCGGGGAGGGTGGGCTGGGTGGGCCCGAGGTGCCATGGCCCGGTGGGGATAGGGATCCTCGAGGATGAGCCAACAACACAAACGTAAATTGTCGCAGGTCCGCGCGGATCTCCTGGATCGGCGCTGGACCCCACTCCCCGGCGAGGCGCCAGGGGCGGCGCCGAAGCAGCCGCCATGGGGAGCCCAGCGCCGATGCAAGAGATCCGCACACGGAGCTCCGAGGGATTGTGTGCCGTCTGTGCCTGCTCTCCGGCTGCGAGGGTGGACTGGGGGGGCTGGGGAGATGCCATGGCCCAGCGGGGATGGGGACAGGGCTTGACCAGGAGGGGGGGCTGGACTGCCACCCGAAGTGTGCCAATGCCGCCCCAGCGATCGAATAGCATCGCTGTGGCAGTTGCCACCAAAAGGCAGGTCGAGGGCTCGAAACGTTGCTCCGAATCGTGAACCGCACGGCACGGCGGGCTGGTGGGGCTGGAGATGCCATGGCCCAGCAGCTCCCTCCTCCTCCTCCTCCTGCTCCTCCTCCTCCTCCTCCTCCTCCTCCTCCTCCCCCTCCTCCTCCTCCCCCTCCCCTTCCTCCTTGTCCTCCTCCGCATCCTCCTCCTCCGCCTCCGCCTCCTCCTCCTCCTCCTCCTCCTCCTCCTCCTCCTCCTCCTCCTCCTCCTCCTCCCCCTCCCCCTCCTCTTTCCCCTCGTGTGGGAGGGGACGAGGCTGGGCGGGCCAGGAGGGCGGGCTATTGGGTCTTCAGATGCCATGGCCCAGCCGGGATGGGAACAGGGCTTGACTGGATGTGGCGGGCTGGTGGGGCTGGAGACCCAGACCCCCGACGTAGTGATTTGTTTCACAACGTCGACCCCCAAAGGTCTCGACCCCTTCCCCGGGACCGGCTTTTCACCTTGAGTCGTTTTTTGATTGCCCCGAGGCCCGGCAAGGGTCCTCGGAGGCCGTCGTGATTTTTGTCACATCGAGAGGGGGTCGTGATTTTTGTCACATCGCGAGGGGGTCTCGAGATACCATGGCCCAACGGGGATGGGGACGGGGCTGAGGAAACCGAAAGGCACCGATACCGCTACCACCCGGACCTCTCCCAGGGCGCGTACTGACCAGGATTTCGAAGCGAACCCAGCGGTGGCGACGATGGCCCCCAAGGAGGCCCACAAAGGGGGCACGGAGGCAGGGGAAGCGGCATGGGTGCGGGCCCCGTAGACCAGGACACGCTAGACCAGGACATCCAACAACCCTCGAAACCAATTTTTCCAGACGGCAGCAAACAACAAAAACTGCACTGCAACATTTCCGAAATAAACCGGGACACGAGCCCTCTGAGCATGCACAACACACCCTGGACCGGGACAAAGACCCGAATCATGCAGCGCAGCACATAAAAAAAACACAGCACTGGACGACCAAATCTAACTTTCCCCGACTTGCCAATGTCCTGGTTTAGGTCGTGCATGTCCCCTTTTATTTGTGCCCGGACAGAAGACCTGGGCGACACAACCCGAAGGGAGGTGCCCAAGGTGCCTGCATGAATTCACATGCAGTCGGACCTCGCAACACGAACGGCGGCACGGACTGCCCCAGGCGTTATCCGCGCCGCCGTTGCGAGGTGCCTCGAGATGCCACCCCGAGACACGGCCACCGGCACCACCCCCACTTGGCCGCCGGCCTCAAGCAGCGGAGGCCCCGCTGCCCAAGGACTTACGTTCCCGCGCCCCCCACGTCGGGGGACCCCTTCGAGTAACCCCATCGGGCCTCTCAGGGGTGGTACGGCGGGCCCGCACCTACTGTGGCTGGCCATCCACAGGGCAAGAGTCTCTCCCACAGCCCCGTCGAGCTGTGGAGACGATCGGGCTGCCAACCCGCCTGTTTTCCTGGGACGCCACAAAGGCACCCAGCGGCACAGGTGCCAAATTTGTGTGCATGTCCCCCTACAGGCGGATGTAGGACGAAACATAAAACATATCCCCACAAAATGCTCAAACATACTCGACAAAATAATGGAACATCGTCCCCAGACTACGCTTCGACTACTTTGGAGTCTTCCTCCTGTAGAGGGGCACGCCCGACTTCAGGTTAGTCTGTGTCCTGGTCTCCAGGTGTCTGTTTTCCTCCTCTGGCATGAAGGCCTCCCAGATGGGGTCCGAGTAGATGTGGTCGGAGGACCGCGCCGCATCGCCAATGCATCGGCGATGCAACGTCGATGCATCGCCGACGTCGGCGACGCATCGGCGACGTCGGCGTGGAGAAAATCGGGCTCCGCATCGAGCCGCATCGTCGATACATCAGCGATGCGGCGCGATCCTCCGACCCCATCTACACGTCGTTCATGTCTAACCGTGTTCATTTCTAATTGTGCTCGTTTCTAATTGTTCCTGGCCCACCAGTGGCCAGGAAGAGGCCCAGGACAGAACAATTCGAAAGGAAAGGATCTTGGCCGCCCAAAAAAACAAAGAACTTCCGAAGAGGTAGAGATGAACAAATGTGTACTCCGACCCAACCTAGGAGGCCCCGATCTGAGGGGCCCGGCGGCGCTGCACCCCGGGCTGCCATCCGCGGGCTGGAAGCTGCCCACGGGGCAGTCCGCGCAGAACGCGGAGCCCTCGGAGGGGGCGTGCGTGCCGGCCTCGCGTGGCACCGCGGGGGGAGGGAGGAGGAGGAGGAGGAGGAGGAGGAGGAGGAGGAGGAGGAGGAGGAGGAGGAGGAGGAGGAGGAGGAGGAGGAAGAGGGGGAGGGGGAGGAGGACAAGCTAGGTGCGCTCGCGTCATGTCTGACATCCGACCCCTCCCTCCCATCCCTTACCATGGCGTAGATCCCCTCTCTACTCGCACAGTCGGATGTCGAGCAGGGCAATGATGCCGAAAGGGTACGCGATGTGCATTGTAGAGCACGGCATGGCATGGTGTAGAAGAGCAAAGCAAAGCGTAGTATGTCACAGCATGGCGAGGCGTGGCGTAGTGAAGAATTGCATCACACAGCTTTGCAACGCAAAGCATGGCATCGCACAACGGCCCCAAACATAACATTGCATAGCATGGCGTTGAAGATCAAAGCGTAGCATAGCATAGCACGACGTGGCACTGAAGCGCTGCATATCACAGCTTCAGCTGAAGGCATGGCATCGCGCAGCGAAGCGCAACCTAGCATTGCATTGCATGCCGTGGCATGGCACGGGAAATGACGCCAGCGCTGCAGCGGGAGCACGATTCGGAACGAGCGGAAGCGCGGAAATGAGGCCAGCGCTGCAGCGGGAGCACGATTCGGAACGAGCGGAAGCACGGAAATGAGGCCAGCGCTGCAGCGGGAGCACGATTCGGAACGAGCGGGGCCCGAAAATGAGGCCGGCGCCTCAGCGAGAGCAGCATTTTGAAAAACATGCAGGCGAAAACCCAACTCCGGGGAATCCTGTGTAAAAAACAATACGCGGGGGGGGGGGGGGAACACTCCCAACCCGTCATCAGGGGAAGGAGGAGAGTAGTATTCATATTGAGTAATTGTGGAGGAGGAGGAGGAGAAGGAGGAGGAGGCCGAGAAGAATGGAGAGGGGAGAAGAACGAGGGCCACCCCTGCCGACGAGGACGGCCCCTTGGTGCGCTGCTGCTGGGGGGCGCGGGCCCCTGGGAGGCCCAAGGGGGGGGGGGGGGAGGGGGAAGGGGAGGGGGCGCCCCTCGGGAGGCAGCTCCTGGGCGGGCCCTTCGCAAGAACGACTGAGGGCTATCGAGCCCGAGTTGGGGGCTACCTCGTGGGGGGAGCGATGAGTTTAGGTCGGGCATGTGCCCCAAACATTTCACACACACACACACACAACAAAAACAAAACAGAGAAACACGCAACAAAAACCTAGAAAATCGTCCAAACAACGTCCCCGGACTATTGTTCACTGTTTCTGAATAAGTGGGCAGGCCCGGCTCAACGATGAGTGGGGCCGGGGGAGGGGGGAAGGCGACAAGTGGGGCGGGCGGGGAGGGGGGGCGGGGACGAGCACCTCTCGTGCCCCTTTCGGGCCCCAGAGGACCCTTCACGGCCTCCAGGGCCCCGTTCGGACCCCGCGAGGCCCCGCGTGAGAGGGCCACCCTGCCGAGGGCGACCCCCCTCAGGAGCGAAGAACGACGGAGGGCTATTGAGCCCGATTCGGGCGTTCCCTCCTTGGGGGGGCGATCAAAAGTGTGGGGGGAGCGGGTGAAACGCGAATCTGTCGTGCCCTTGCTGGGCCCCGAGGAGCTCCTTGCGGGCCCCCGCTGGGCCCCCTTCGGGCCCCGTGAGGCTCCGCGCGAGGGGGGCCACCCCTGCGGAGGGCGACCCCTTGGTGCGCTGCCGCTGGGGGCGCGCAGTGTCAGGCTCCGCGTGAGAGGGCCACCCCTGCCAAGGGTGACCCTCGGTCCGCTGTCTGTCGGGGGGCGCGCGCGCCCTCGGAGGCCCAGGGCTCCGTAAACCAGGACGTCGCGGACCAGGACTCTGAGCAGAAAACTGACCTTGAGAGAGCGAAGAGGGGAGAAGATCTCAACCGACGGCTGCAGTCTCCTGGGGAGCCCTAGTGTCCTGGTTGACCGTCGCCCCCCCAGAGTTGCCTCAGTCAATTCTGTTCTCCCTCTCCCTCTCATCCTCCTCCGCCTTTTCCTGATCCCTCCTCCCTCTCCTCTTCCTGTTGCTCTTCCTCTTCCTCTTCCTCTTCTGCCTTCTGCCTTCTCCTCCTCCCCCTCCTCCTCCTCCTCCTCCTCCTCCTCCTCCTGCTTCTCCTCCGCGTCCTCCCCGATCCCCCTTCTCCTCCCCCTCCTCCTCCTCCTCCTCCTGGTACTCCTCCTCCTCCTCCTCCTCCTCCTCCTCCTCCTCCTCCTCCCCTCCTCCTCCCTTTGGGGGGGCACTGGGAGGGCCCTTCAGGGTGCCCCCCCCCCCCCCGGGGACGCCCCCTGGCAGCCCAGCACCACGGGCCGCCCCGCCGAGAGAGGGGCACCCCCCTCGCGCGTCGTTGCGAGCAGCCTCGCAGTCGCGGCACTCGGCCTCCCCCGCCATGCGGTACGTGCTGGTGCCCGCGGAGCAGTTCTGGCACTCCGCGGCCCCCGAGCCCGAGCGCTGGCCTGCCGGGCACGCGCCGCACTGCACGGCCCCGGCGCTGTCGGCGAACCTCCCCGCCGCGCAGTCCTGACAGGCCTCGGGGCCCTCCGAGGGCTTGTACCTGCCAGCGGGGCAGGCCATGCAGTGGTCGAGGCCCGTGGCGGCGATGTCCTCGGGGGCGCCCAGGGGGGGGGGGACGTCCAAGAGGGGGGCTCGCAAAACGTGCTCCCCGCCAGTGGGCGCATCAAGTGGCGAAGAGGGGGCCATGGCATCATGGCCTCGGCCATTCTACCCACCGATCGTCCCCGCCCTTTGGCCACCCCTGACCGTGAGATCTGACGGCGCGACATACCTGCAGCATCGTGGATAAGCACGACCAGAGCACCAGACCCCATCTTCCCGCGCCCCTCCTCGAGCCGGATCAATGTACGTGAGGGTTGACCGGACCCGAGGCGAAGCGAAGGCACACCCGGCGCGGAAGAGTTGCAACAAAAACAAAAAACGCCAGACTGCAGCAGCCCAACCATCGATACCTCCTCCTCCTCTCCTGGTACTATCCTCCTTCCGTCCTCCTCCCCCTCCTCCTCCCCTCCTCCTCCTCCTCCTCCATCCTCCTCCACCTACCTCCACCTCCACATCCTCCACCACCTCCTCCTCCTCCTCCTCCTCCTCCTCCTCCTCCTCCTCCTCCTCCTCCTCCTCCTCCTCCTCCTCCTCCTCCTCCCCCCCCGTCTTGGGCGAAAAACAGATCCGTGTCCGCGGCCTCGCGGGCAGGCCCCGTGGGCCGCGATGCCCCCGCGGATACGCGGCGCTTCTGTCGCGGATGCCCGGCGCGGAACGCAGTGCAGTGCGACCGCGCATGGCCGCGGGATCGCGCGCCCCGCAGTGCACGCCGCGAGGGCGCGGGCACGGTCTTTGCGCCGCACAGGGCACCCTGCTTGCCGCCCCTGATGTCCGCGGGGTCGGAGCCGAGGGTCAGCGGGGACTCCCCTGGGCCGCAGGAGCTCGGCCCCGCGAGCGGCAGGAGGTCGTGGGTCGAGTTGTCGTCCAGCAGGAGCACCGCCTGCGGGGCGTGCTCGGGGCAGGTCCTCCCAGGCATCACCTCGGCCTCCCACTGCTCGCACGCCGTGTAGTCCTCGCGGGAGATCACGCGGCTGATGACGACTGCGCTGCTGTTTGTGTGGTACCCACACACGGCCTGCTCGTTGTTCTTCGTCCTCGTCCCGCCCAGCACGTTCGCGAAAGTATAGCCCGCAGTGGGGCTGTGCGGATTCTCAGGCGGATACTTGAAGTTAATTCGGCCCTGCGCGCCTTCAAAGCTCACGTCCTCCTTCAAGCAACTGATCACCCAATTCGTTGCGGTGTAGTCGCGGGGGTCGGCTGTGACCACCCTGTCCAAGCCTGCTGCACCATGCCGCGACTCCACGCACTCCCAGGCTTTGGCCAGCGCGTACACGCCGTCGACCACGCCGAGGCCCACACCGAAATGCACGGCCCAGGGCGGGATGTTCCGACAGAAATGCGGGTTCGCGCAGAATCCAGCCCGCACGCTGGCGTTCTCCCAGTAGGGCGGCTTGCCGCGCGAGTACTCCTGACTACCTACCAGACCACCCCAACCCAACCCGAAGCCCCGAATTTCGGGTTGGGGAGGGTAAGGGTTCCACATGTGATTTTTCTATGTTTCCCGACACCCCCCCCACTGGAAATCGAGGGTGAATCTGAGCCTTCGGGTTTGGTTGGGGTGGTTTGGTGGGTGGTGAACTCCCAGAACTGCATCGCCAGATCCCAACCGGACGGCCCGAAGGCCAACCGCCGGCAGGCAGCACCGTCACAGCGCGCCCTGCTCGACGGCAGCCAGTCGGCGGGCAAGCGGGCGGCATCCACGCACAGTGGCCCTCCCGGCTCGGCGATGCCAGGCTCGTCCGGCATTGTCAAGCTGCCGTCAGAGCAGGCGCAAGAGATGCGGCACCCCGGCATCAGCGAATTCCAATTGCAGGCGCTCACGGGGCAATACTGCGCCACCTGCTGCATGTAAGGCTGCCATCCGGTCTGCCCGAAGGGGACCAACTCCGCGCAGGAGACCGAATCTCCGGGCGTCTTGCCCAGGAGCGCGAGCACCGTGGGGGAGATGGACGCCCCCTCTGGGTCGTCGGCGCAGTCCTGGGTGTCGCGGACGCCGAGCCCATTGTCTGCCCAGCTGGTGCCATCGAGGCCCCAACTCCCCCCGCCCTGGTAGCCTTCACCTGTGGCCCGATTGATGAGAATGTCGTCGGCTGGGTTCGGCGGCCAGGCGACCGAAGCCACCATGCCACCGTTCTCGATGACCGTGCGCAGCACGTCCTCGCTGCAGCCGGGCACGCTCATCAGCACGTCGCCGGGCGTGGCCATGGCCAACAGCTGGACGCGGCGGTAGAGGTCCTCGCCGCGCAGGTACAGGCGGCACCCCAGCACGGCGTACGACGCCGCGGTGGACGTCCCCAGGACGATGTAGCGAACGTCGCTCGCCAGGAACAGGTCGATGGCATCCTCGGTGGGAGCCACCGTGGAGTTCGGGTCAGAGCCGTCGAAGACCGGCAGGATCACCCTGGAGACAATCTGCCGGCCCGCCCGGGCGGCGGCCTCCTGAAACGCGGGTATCATGTCGGGCGCACTGGCGGTGTCCACCAGCAGGGCGAAGCGCCCCGGGACCATCTCCATCATGCCGGGCAGGAGCCAATTGGCGGCCGAGCGGGTCTGGAAGAAGGTTGGCTTCTGACTGAGGTCGCTGATGACAACCGCCTGGGCGTGCACCTCCATGTGCGGCACGCCCAGGACAGCAGCTGTGCGCGCGATCTGATCCGCGCGGGCCCCGTCACCCCCAGTGACGAACCCATTCTTCGCGGGCCACTTCCGGGACGCCTCCACGAACTCCTCCGAGATGCGCTGCAAGGCCATCTTTGTAAAATCGTAGTGGTGCGCCGAGAGCTGGACGCACGTGCTGTTCAGCGTGCCAGTGCCATTGTTGATCGTGTCGACGATGAAGGCAACCAGCTCGTATGCGTTGGGAATGCACTTTCCGGAGTTCAGATACTCGGGCTCGTTGTAGCCCGTAGCGCACATCCACGTCGCCAGGTGTATCGTCAGGTTCTGGGCGCAGGACTTGCCCATCGGCGACGTGTAGACGTACTGGCCATACAGGTCGTGGGACTCTGGCGGATAGAACGTCCAGGTGCCTTCATGGTGGGCGGTCGCTGGCCTCTCGATGGCATAAGGCTCGACCGCGGAGACGATGTCCTCCGGCGGCACTGCGTAGTCTGGCCTAACCATCCGCGGCCAGAACACCACGAACAACAGTATCGCGAAGCACGGGTCTGCCGACATGTGGGAGATCTGGCACAGCGAGTTTGGGATCGTGCGCTTGTGACACGCCGCATTCGCAATAAAGGCAATCGTTCTCACATCGTGGCGGACTCCTTTGAGCCAGCATGGCCATAGATTTGCCTGTATGTGACGGGCTCCTGAGAACAATTCCCAGCCCACCTGCAGTTGAGCGCTCGCGCTTAACACCTTGCTCTCGCAGCCGCTGGCCACATAGCCTCGCTCGCCGTCTGCGTCATAAAACTGCCCGAGATCATAAACATAACTGTTCTACATGTTTCGCCAAACACCTTGCTGAACGGGGTGCTGTTGTGGTAGAAACTAGCTCCGGCCAGGGAACATACTCCCAAAAATGTGGGGGTCCGGGCCGTTTCGCCTGAGACATGCCCACAACTATCGTGTCTGAGGTGGCTGGGATTGGGCGTTTCGCCTGCAGCATCCTCCCAACTCTGAGCTCCGAGACGCCGCGCGCAAGGTGGTCTGGTGCGTTTCGCCTGAGACATCCTCACAACTCTGCGCTCCGAGCTGCCGCGCGCGAGGTCGTCCAGCGCGTTTCGTCTGAAACACCCTCACAATTCTGAGCTCTGAGACGCCGCTTGCGAGGTGATCTGGCGCGTTTCGCTTGAAACATCCTCGCAATTCAAAGTTCCGAGATGCCGCGCGAGAGGTGGTCTGGCGCGCGCCGCCTGGGACATCCTAGCAACTTTGCGCTCCGAGCTGCCGCAAGCGAGATGGTCCGGCGAATTTCGCTTGAGACATCCTCGCAATTCTGAGCTCCGAGCTGCCGCGCAACAGGTGATTTTGCGCGTCTCGATCAAAATATCCTTGCAACTCCGAGCTCTGAGATATGTGCGAACGGGTGTCTGGCCCGACTCGCTTGAAATATCCTCGTACTCGGGCTCCGAGATGCTGCGGGCGAGGTGGTGTGGCCCGTTTCGCCTGAGACATTCTCGAAACTCTGGGCTCCGAGAGGGAGGAGAAAAAAGGAGGAAAGGTCAGACCCAAACGAAGCATTTGTTTACACTTCTGTGGTCAAATTGCGCCCCGGGAGGGGTCTGGGCGCCACCTGAGACATTCTCGCAACTCTGAGCTCGATGAGCGCGAGGTTGTCCAGCTCATTTCGCCTAAAATACCCTCGCAACTCTGGACTCTCAGAACATGTGCGCGACGTGGTCTGGAGCGTTTCGCTTGAGACAGCCTCGCAACTATGGTCTCCGAGATGCCGCGCCAGAGGTACAGTCGGGGCGTTGACCTAAGGAACCCTACATGAGGAACGAGGCCCCATTGTCCCAAAAATTAAACTTCGATTTCCCATCCGAAACCTAAGGTAAACCTGAGGCAACGTTAAGGAACACGTAGCCCCTCCCCAACGAAAAGGGCTCCTTCTTCAGCGCCCCGACTGTAGTCTCGTTTCGCTTGAGACATCTTCGAAACTCCGGGCTCCGAGGAGCGAGGCGAGGGGAGCGAGGGCGAGTCGTCAGACCCGAATGAACCATTATTTTTGCTCCCAGCGCTCCCTGCGATCTGACAGGCGCAGGCGATGCCATTAGAAAGCGCCTCGAGCTCAGCGGTCCCAGGACCCAACACGAACCATTGGACTCCGCTTCTGCTGTCGAGCTGTGCTCTGGGACCGGTCTTCGCGCCCCTGGCCCAACGGAGGAGGGAGCTGGCGCCGAGGCGCGAGCGCGATTCGTTGGCAAGCTTCGAAGGCTCGTCGGGGGGGCGCCATGCAGGAGCAGATCGTGGAGATGCCAAGCTCGGAGCAACGGCGAGCAGGGAGGAGGCAGGATGGGGGAGGAGAAGGGGAGGAGGAAAGAGCTCCGAGATGATGCGCGAGTGGTCCCGCTCATTTCGCCCGAGACATCCTGGCAACTCCGAGCTCTGAGAAATGTGTGCAGTGATGTGCGGCGCGGCTCGCCTGAACTATTCTCGCAAGTCGGGGCTCCAAGACGTTACGCGCGAGCTGGTCCAGCCCGTTTCGCCTGAGACACCCTCGCCATTCGGGGCTCCGAGAGGGAGGAGGAAGAAGGTAGGAGGACTCAGACCCAGACGAATCATTCGATGTCACTTCTGTTGTCGAATTGTGCTCTGGGCGGGGGCCTGCGCGCCGCCTGAGGCATCCTCGCGGCTCTGAGCTCTCAGAAGATGTGCGCGGGGTCGTCCAGCCCAGCTCGCCTGAGACCTCCTCGCAGGTCGGGGTTTCGAGATGCTGCGTGCGAGGTGGTCCAGCCCGTATCGCCTGAGACATCCTCGCAACTCTGGGGTCCTTGAGGATGCGCGCAGATGTGCGCGACGTGGTCTGGCGCGTTTTGCTTGAACCAGCCTCGCAACTTGGGGCTCTGAGGTGCCGCGCCAGAGGAGGTCTGGCCCGCTTCGCTTGAGGCATCCTCGGAACTGCGGCCTCCGGCAGGGAGGAGAGAGGCGCGAGGAGGCGTCACGCCAAGACGAATCGTTCGATTCCACTTCTGCTGTCGAGATGTGCTCTTGCACTGGTCTTGGCGCCCCTGGCCCGACGGAGGAGGTAGCTGGCCCGAGCACGATCCCTGTGTGATTTAACCAGCCTCGAACTTCTCCCTATCCCTAAGACGGGCGAGCAAAAGGCGAGGACAATCTTAGGGATAGGCCCTCAGAAACTGGGGGAACCCTTAAGATCGGCATCGAGGTGCGGTGATGTCAAATATAGGGGTAGGGATATGTTTCAAACAGGTAATACTTTGCAACGGCTGATCAGGGGGGAAGCCATGTAGGAGCAACTCGTGGATATGCCTCGACCAGGGCGCGGCGAGCAGGGAGGAGGCAGGATGGGGGAGGAGACAGGGAGGAGGAACGAGCTCCGAGATGCTGCGCGGGAGACTTTAAGGAAGGAGAGAGACGGGACGAGGCTCAAACACAACTTGTTTGAGGGCATCCCTGACGAGGGTGCCTCCTGGAAGTGGCATCGAGTGTGCGAAGGCATCCCTGGGATTGCGGAGGAAGCGGAGAAGAGGAGCGAAGATAGGGATGATGAGGGGGAGGGGGAGCAGGAGGAGCAGGAGGAACAAGTGAAGAAGGAGGAGTTGCAGGAGGAGGAAAGGGACTGGAAGGACGAGGAGGAGGGGGAGGAGGTTGGGAGGAGGAGAGGAGGAGGAGGAGGAGGAGGAGGAGGAGGAGGAAGGTGAAGTCGAGGAGGAGGAGAAGGAGGAGGTGGAGCAGGAGGAGGAGGAGCACCGAGAGGAGGCGGAGGAAGAGGAGAAGCACTGCGAAGCGGAGAAGGACGAGGAACACAAGGACGAGCACGAGGAGCACGGCAAGCAGGAGGAGAAGGAGCAGGAGGAGAAATACAAGGAGAAGGTCGATGACGAGGTAAGGCATGAAGAGGAGAAGGAGGACGAACACGACGAGAAGGAATAGCACAGGGAGCATGAGGAAGATTTCGTATGAGGAGGGGGGCGAGGATGAATGAGATGAGAGGATACGAAAGGAGGAAGAGGAGGAGGAAGAGGAGGGGGAGAGGGACCGGGCCAGGTGAATCAGGATGAAGAGCGGGAGGAGGAGGAGGAGGAGGAGGAGGAGGAGGAGGAGGAGGAGGAGGAGGAGGAGGAGGAGAAGCGAGAGGAAGGGAGAAGGGGGATGAGGAGGAGAAGGGAGGAGGCGTACTGAAAGAGGGAGGGCGAGGGTGAGAAGGATAATTACGTCGATGCGAGACGGAGGCTGGCGGCGACGATCGCGCACAGCTCGACCACGTCGCCGACGGCGCAGGCGGATCAGAAGTAGGAGAACGCGAGAACACTCTTCGCAGCCACCTTGGCTCAAAAAAAGCTGGTTGGGGATACTGGGCTCTGCTGTGGTTGTTTTTTTTTGGGGGGGAGAGAGAGAGAGAGAGAGAGAGAGACTGAGAGAGAGAGAGAGAGAGAGAGAAAGAGAGAGAGAGAGAGAAAACAAACAAATGGAGAACAGCCGCGAAGCTCCGATAGTCGAACGACGATCCAATTGCTGCTTGCTGCTGGCGCGGGCCCGAGCGGACAGGTCTTGCCCTCTCACACGGACAGGGTCAAACAAAAGGGACTACCTGTGGGAGCGCGACTGTAAAACTTCGCACGCTCTGGGACCGACGGTGATGCGAATCAACGGGTCGCCTGGTAACCCAAGAACCCCGCACGAGCCGACCTGCGATAGGCAAACTCAAGCGGTGAACCGTGGTTCGATATCAAGGAATCGAGCGTGCAACATGCAAATATCATCGAGTCCCAAAGAGCCAATGACTACACATGCGACCTACGCTTTTCCCTGTCATCAAGCGCGGCTCCAGAACAATTCCCAGTGAAGCTCGCATCCTGGAAAAGATAAACCCATCGAGCGCTAAGGTGAAAGCAGAACTGCAATGGGAACTCTCCCACGCAGCCGCTCGACATGAGGCAAGGAAGCATGTAGAACGACGCGCGGCCGCCCATATGGCGACAAGAAGGCCAGTGCGCCCTGCAACACGACCCGAACAGTGAGCGCACAGCTGCAATCCGCAGCAAGAGCGACGGCGACGGGGAGGGACGCAGGCAGTTGAGAAAGCGGGCGGGGGCAGGGGCTGAGAGCGGCAGAGGCGATCAGCGCAAGTAGCGTGAAAAAGGCACAGGCAGCCCCACGCATGCGGCGACTCACGAGTCGAGACGATTCGGTGCAGACGTTCGCCCATGTGCAGCACGGGCAGTACAGGGGAGACACGGGGGTCCACGCAGCACCTGGGGGCCAGGACCAGGCGGCAGACGAGGACAACCCATGGCGGCGATGTGCAGCCTGCGGGGCTCCTGCGTCCCGCTCCTGCCCGTCCCGACGTCGTGCGGCTTCGCCTCATTGCGGACAAGTACGGCACGACGAGTACGGCACAACTGCCAAACCAGGAGGCTAGATCCGCCCGAAGCAGGGCGCACTCGGCGTCCAAGGCAAGCAGAAGCAGGCCTCTCTCCTCTCCTAGCTACTCCTAGCTCTCCTGCTCCTCCTCCTCCCCCTCCTCCTCCTCCTCCTGCTTCTCCTCCTCTTCCTCCTCCTCCTCCTCCTCCCTCCTCCTCCTCTACCTGGCGCGCTCTCCTCGCTCGCCTCCCGGGGCCGCCCACGCACTCGCACCGGGAGGCCGAGGAGGGAGTACCGCTGGACGTCTCCGGTGGAGCAGCAGTGGGAGCACCGCGCTGCGACCAGCGAGAGCAGTCGGACTAGCCAGATGATTGGCCATACAAGGAACCCTAATGCGGAATGACGATTAATAAAAAATGGGAGAGAACAGTTTAAAACATAGTTTCTGCTATTTCTGCACAATTTTCTGACAGGAGGAGAACGATTAAAAAATAGTTTTCCAGCCCGCGGCTAGTTTTTTTCTAATCGTCATCCCGGGCGCCGCCGCGTGAACACGACCCCCGGTCATTTATTAATCGTCATCCTCCATTAGCCCTTTGGGAGGAGAGCTGAGTGAGGAGGGCAAACGAAAAACAGTAGGGACAGGGGGCCGCTGCTGCAGATGTGTGTCAAACCAAGCCGCCCAGAATTCTTATCCCTATTGCAAAGACGAGGATCTAGGTGAGGCCACATTCGGGCCGAGCGAAACGGGGGGATAGCAAAGGGGGGGGGGGGGAGAATCAGCTCACGCAGCTGATTTTCCCGGCGCCTCCCGGCGCTGGAGGAGGCGCCCATGTCTCGAGGAATGGGCCCAGCGGCGGGGCCGAAACCAGCTGCATGCAGCAGACTTCGTAACCCCCCCTTTCCCTATCCCCCCCTTTCGGGGATGGACAGACCCCCCTTTAGCAAAACGTGGTTTAGTGAAAACGACCTGAGGCCCAAACCTGGCGGGCGCAGACCTGGAAAATGACGGCCACGGCGCCCTCTCGAGAACCGAAAACGGACAATTCACGAATCGACGTGTCACTGCTGGGGATTCTTTCCATATCCCCCCCCTTTCCCTATCCCCCCCCCCCTTTCGCTATCCCTTTCCCTATCCCCCTTTCCCTATCCCTATCCACCCCCCCCTCGTTCGGCCCCACACCTCTCGATGGCTATCTTCTACCCTCGATGGCGAGAGAGCCGCTCTCCGGGCAGGGGCAGCCGCCAAAAAGATCGGGGCTCCACCGCGGCCGCTCCCGTCGGCACCGCCGCCGCTGCTGCTGCCCGGCCTCCTGCCGTGCCTCCTCCTGCCGCTCCCCCTATCCTCCCTTGAAGGGGCCCTGGGACACACTCAGATAGAAACACACAAACGAAAGTATTCCCCCTATTTTTTCCCATATGTTCTGGGTTTTCGTCTGCCCCCCCCACTTCCCATCTTTTCCCATCTGTTCCTGGGAATCGACGATGAATTGTGTCTGTGTGTTTTTCCCCTCCTCCTCCCTGCCCTCGCCTCCCTCCCTCCGCCGCCGCCCGCCCTCCCTCACGGGCCTTTCGGACCCCCTCTCCAAGAGTGGAAACTAAGCATCCTTTCGACGACCCCAGACTGCTGACGGCTTGGGGGGCCCCAACATCAGTGGGCAATCGCTATTTCTCCGCGGCACCCGCCGCGCAGGAGGGGAGAGGAGAAGGAGACCGAGCAGGAAGAGGAGGGGCGGAGTTTATTCACCGCCGGGAGAGACAGAGGGGGGGGAAAACTAAAAACATCCTGGTGGTATGTACCTCGAGCTATCTGTCGCCGCCTACTGTGGAGGGAGGGCGTTGCAGAAAGGTTTGGGGTATGGATTCTTCGCTTCGGTCCGACACGTCCCGTCCGCTCTGATGCGGGGTCCCTTCGTACTGAACTGAACTTGCTTCCCTCGGTGCCCGTGCCGATCGTTAGTCTCGCTAGTGCTATGCGAGGTGAGTGCCAGCCTCTGCTCACAGGCTCCCAGCTCAATCAGCGTCGAACTCGGAAGGCCGTCGTCCTCCTCTTCGTCCACCCCTTCCCTCCTCCTTCTTCTCGCCGCCCCCTCCTCTTCGCCCTGCGGTCGGACCTAGGACAGAAGAGCATCCCTCAAGAGCATGGAGCGTCGAACTCCGAAGGCCGTCGTCCTCCTCTTCGTCCTCCCCTTCCCTCATCCTTCTTCTCGCCGCCCACCCCTCTTCGCCCTGCGGCCGGACCGAGGACAGAAGAGCATCCCTCAAGAGCAGGGCACCCTCCGCCGGCCAGGCATGAGAGCACTCGAGCACGCCCTCCCCCTCCCCCTCCTCCTCCTCCTCCTCCTCCTCCTCCTCCTCCTCCTCCTCCTCCTCCTCCTCCCCCAGGATGCACAGTGACACCCAACCGACACGAAGAACACTGGGGTGCCCTCCCCGAAATCCGGCCTCGACCTCAGACCTCGGCCCGGCCGTGCTCTCCTTCCGTCGCTCGGGGGCGGCCAAGAGGGGGGCGTCCAAGAGGGGGGGGAAGGTGCAAGTCATGGCTGTCGGCATGTGCGCGGCCCAAGGAGGGGGGGCCAGGGACGCAATGAAATAAGGAGAGGAGAGGCGCCATGAAATCTGGGGAAGTGTCGTGGCCCACGCCATGAGATCCACCGCCCTTAGTCATCACCCCCCTCTTTGCCGCCCCTGACTCACCTTCACCTCTGCATTCCGTGGCCGCGGCACTGGACCAGCTTTCGGTCCAGTGCCCACGAGGCTGTGCCTGTCGGCCCGTGCCAGCAGGCGGTACCAGGCGCGCCTCGCAGCCAGGGCGTGCCCATCACAGGGCTACCCCCCCCAACGTTGCCGCTGATCCGGCGGCGGGCGAGGGGGGAAGTGAGAAGACCAAAAGAGCCGACGCTCCGACAAAAATGGGGGCGGCCAATGTTTGGCCGCCGGCGTCGGGACCGTCAACAAACGACTCAGGGCGAGAAACTGGCCCTAGGAAAGTGGTCCAGACCTCCGGGCCCACGCATCGATAAAATTCAATTGGAGCGGCAGGATGTCTGGGAGGAGAAGACCTTCTCCGAAAGCGGCGGGGCTTCTCGGAAGGCCTTCGGCCATACCCGGCCTTCTGAGAAGCCTTCTGTGTCTTCGGGAAGGCTCAGAAAGCTTCTCAGAAGGCCGGCAGACTACCGAGCCTTCTGAGAAGGCCCACCCTTTCTCACTTCCCACGTGGCTCCCCGCCGGTTGATCATTTCCCCCACCCTTGGGGTGCAATGGCCACTCACCCGTGGGGGGGGGAGTAGATACACACCGATACCGCTACTCCCAGGACTACTCCCGGGTGCGTTCTGACCAGAAGTGCCAGGCGAGTCCAGCGGTGCCGACGAGAGCCTCCCAAGAGCCGCCTCAAGAGGAGAAGACGAGGCAAGGGGAGCCGTTGCGCTCTTCCAGGTCAACCTCCTCCTCCGTTCCTCTCCTTATAGATAACACCGCCCTGTCGCGCCCCGACGCGAAGCGTGCAGCAATGTTGCTGACGGAGGGCGGGTCGCTCTCAAAACATGGCTCTCGCCCTAGCGCCGCGCGCATTCGTGCTCTCTTAACATGCAAGGGTTTCACTGGTTGAGGGAGGTCAGCTCTCACAGTGTGCCTCTTACCGTAGCGCCGCGCTCACTCGTCTTAGACATGTGCAACAGCTTCACGGATAGAGGGCGGTACCCTTTCAACATGCGTCTCTCGCCTCAGCGCCACGCGCATTCGCCTTAAGATGTTACAGCGGTTGCACTGATTCGCAAGGCTATGCCCCAGACGTTGCATTCTGGAACGATGTCGGACTATCAGGCCGCACGAGTTACGTTGGTTCGCGGTGATGAAGTCCCAGGAATGGCGCTCTGGCAATATTCCGGATCGGCAGGACGCAACAGTCAGGTTGATTCGTGGCGTTGAAGTTCCAGGAATGGTGCCATGGCACGGTTCAGGATTTTCTAACAAGGTTGTCTTCCAGCTGGGCACTTCCCTCAGTGGACATGCATCCTTGTAGGGGCATGTGAAGAGGGAGCTTGGAGGGAGGGTTCTTGCAACCTCAATGATGAGACTTGGGTTTACTGAAGGCGCCCAGCGACACACACAAGTCCGCCGGCCCCCTTGTGGGGCCACCAGGCTGTAGGCTGGAGGTTCGAAGTTTCCTGTACCACTTGAAGCTTCCAGTTTCCACTGTTACAGTTCTGCTTCTTGCTGCTTACTGTTACATGTCTGCTTCTTGCTGCTTACTGTTCCTTGTTGATGGACCGCGCGAGGGGGGGAGGCCCAAAACGGGCATTTCTACCACGCCCAAATCGTATTGTCTGAATTGCTGGGGTGGGTTTGACACCCCTTACGCAGATCGGCGGGGTCAGGGTCCAAAAACACACGGGATTTGCCACATTTCTGAAATGCGGTGGCACCCCTCACGCAGATCGGCGGGGTCAGGGTCCAAAAACACATTGGATTTACCACATTTCTGATATTCGCCGGCAGCCCTCACGCAGATCGGCGGGGTCAGGGTGCAAAAGCACACGGGATGTACTACATTTCTGGAATTCGGTGGCACCCCTTACGCAGATCGGCGGGGTCAAGGTGCAAAAACACACGGGATTATTTGCCACATTTCTGAAATTCGGTGGCACCCGTGACGCAGAGCCGTAGGGTCAGGGTCTAAAAACAAACAAGTCCCGACACTGCTTCACGGCGAAGCCAAAGCCTCATGACTTTGCTCTTCCGTGGCCCATTCTCCGAAAGAAGGGGCCGGCGGCAGGGTGCGAAGCCCTTACGGATAAGTGCGCACAATCCGAGGATCCCGAGTATGTTTCAATATCTTCTGGAGTTTCGTCTTCCACGCCGCTTCCCAGATCCTCCCATCTGTCCATCGGGGTCGGCGATCAATTGCGTCTGAGTATTTCCTCCTCCTCCTCCTCCTCCTCCTCCTCCTCCTCCTCCTCCTCCTCCAGCCGACGCGCGCCTCCGCGCGCTCCCATGTCCGCGCCGCCGCCCCGCGCGCCGGCGGGCGCGCTGCGGGCGGCGGGCGCGGGCGTCCCCCGGGGCCCCCCCGCGGAGGGCCCCCGACCCCCGACGCCCGCCTCCCTCCCGGCGCGCCCTTTCCCTCTGCGGCCCGCTGCCCGGCCGCGTCCGCTCCCAGGGCCGCGCCCCGCCGCGCCCGGCGCGCCGGGTGGGGCCGCCCCGCCGGGCAGGGCCCCAGCTCCAGCTCGGCGACGCTGCACCTGCGGTGTTCCGCGGGGGAGGCGCCGCGCGCGGCGGGGTGGCCCCTCCTCGGGGCATCCTGCCCCCCACCACCGCGGCCCACCTTCCGCTTCGCCGTCCTCCCCCTCTCGGCGGTGGACAAGCCTCCTCCCTTAAAAAAAACGCCCTTTGGTGAAAACGGCCTGGGACCGAAACCGACGGACCTGGACCCGCGAAAATGACAACCGTGACGCCCTCCCGCGAACCGAAAACGGCCAATTCGCTGATCGACGTGTCAGGGTAGGAGGTCTGTCCACCCCCGATCCTCCGCCACCTCCTCCTCCTCCTCCTCCTCCTCCTCCTCCTCCTCCTCCTCCTCCTCCTCCGTCTCCTCCTTGTCCGCCTGCTCCTCGTACTGCTCCTTCTCCTCCTCCTCCCCTCCTCCTCCCCCCCCTCCCCCTCCTCCTCCTCCCCTCCTCCTCCCCCTCCCCCCTCCTCCTACTCCTCCTCGCCATCCTCCTCCTCCTCCTTCCTCCTCCTCCTTCTCCTCCTCCTCCCCCTCCTCCTCCTCCTCCTCCGCCTCCTCCTCCTCCTCCTCGTTCTCCGTCTTCCTTGCCCTCCACGTCCGTCCAGGGAGAGCTCGAACGAAGCTTGAAGCCAGCTACTCGGCGGCCGACTCGCACAACGCACAACCCAGAGCCCGAACATACTGGCGTTTCGCTCCCACGTCTGCCGCCCTCTGCCGACCTTCCCCTGGACTCCGCCGGCGGAGCCGCCGCCGTCCTGCCTCCGCGGCCCTCCGCCGCCCCCCCCGCCGAGGGCGAGGACGCACCGAGGGCGAGGCCCTTTCCTGGAACGCGCCACATTGGCTCCGGGGAGGTGCTACAGGGCAATTTTTAATACATAGGATTTTTGAAACTATAGGATTTGTAATGCATGATTCACTTATGAAAAATTGGTGCATGAACTCATCGTTGTTTTTAATACTAAATCCGTGCATTAGTAATACATGATCCGCACGCGGAGCATGTACTAAAACCGGCACTGTACGCACAGGCTCGGGAGACTGCTCCTCCAACGCCGGCCCGCGCGCTCACGCCAGCTCGCAGCAGGCACCATAGGAGGCAAAGCCAGGAGGCGTGACAGGGCAGCACACGTGGCGCGTGGCTGATCCGCAGCCGCCGCGCGTGCAGGGCTATTCCGGGGCTCAGCTCAGTGATGCAGAGCAGGGGGCACAGAGTGCTTGGACTGCGCGCCCTACTGCCTAGAGAGTACCAGGCCTGCTGACCAGAAGGATTGCGAGGACCTCTCAAGCGAAGTCCGTCCCAGACCAAGTCAAAGAAATCAACTTGGGATGACCTCTCAAGCGAAACAGTGCCCAAAAACAAGCTAAACAATGGGCAAAACGAAACTGACTGTGAGGACCTCCCAGGCGACGCCTGCGAAAACTAGGCTCCGTCCACAACCCTTAAAGATCATAACCTCAGTGAGTAGAGGCGTGGATGAGCTTGGGGGGGGCCTCCGAAGGCGCAATCCTTTTTTGTTGAGCTAGGCTTCGGGGCACTACAGGAATCAATGAAGGGGCCCAGGAACACACGAATCAACACACACACACACAAACACAAAACCCCAGATGCCCCATATTTGTCCATATTTTCTGGGGGCTCGTCTTCCCCCCACACACTCTTCTTTTTTCCATGTTGCCCTGGGGATCGACGATGAACTGTGTCTCTCTGTGTGTGTCGTTCTCCCTCCTGCAAGCAGATGGCGCCGCCCTGCCAGGAGAAAGCGGCTTCGGTCTCGGTTCCTTGCCGCGCGCGCGCGGGAGAGCTTGGCGAAGCACAGCACGTGCGCTCTTGCCTGCACCGGCCAGACCCGGGCGGCGCCCCACAACAGCGAGGCCGGCTCCAGGTGGTGCGCGGACGGGCTCCCGAGGGCTCTCGCCTGCCCGGATGTAGCCCGATGACTGCCCTCTGCTTGTCCTGCGAGTGCTGCTGCTTCTCCCCACTGGTTGTCCAAAGACTGTCCGGCCGGCTGTCCTGCGAACGTCCCGCAACTTCCCCGATGGTTGTCCCGATGGCTGTCCCGACAATTGTCCCGAGGGTTGTCCCGAGGGTTTTCCCCGTGGGTGTCCCGTGTCCCGGCCCGATGGTCGTGCCGACGTGTGTCCCGACGGTTGTCTCGCGGCTGTTCACCGTAGATGTCCCGTAGATGTGCGGTGGCTGTCCGCGGATGTCCCGCGGTTCTCTCGTGGATACCCTGCGGTTGTCCCGTGGTTGTTCCGTGGTTGTCCCGTGGTTGTCCTGTGGTTGTCCCGCGGTTGACCTGTGGTTGTCCCGCGATTGTCGCGATGGTTGTCCTGCTGGTTGCCCCGATGGTCATCCGACGGTTGTCCCGATGGTTATCCCGTGGTCGTCCCGATGGTTGCCCTGCGATTGTCCCTCGATTGTCCCGCTGGCTGTCCCGCTGGCTGTCCCGATTGTACTGCCAATGGTTGTCCCGATGGTTGTCCAGATGGTTGTCCCGATGGCTGTCCCGATGGTTGTCCCGATGGTTGTCCCGATGGTTGTTCCGATGGTTGTTCAAGCCCGATGGTTGTTCTGATGGCTGTCCTGACGTTTGTCCAGATGGTTGTCCTGCTGATTGTTCCGATGTGTGTGTGTGTGTGTGTCCCGATGTTGGCCCGATGGTTGTCCCGATGGTTGTCCCGTTGTTGTCCCGCGGCTGCGCCGCAGCTGTCCCGATGTTTGTCCCGACGGTTGTCCCGAGGCTGTCCCGTGGTTGTCCTGTTTTGCCTCGTGTGGTACGAGTGCAAATCATTCAAAGCAAACCCCACTCCCCAAGCTTCCCCATAACCCGCAGAGGATCCTGTAGGCAATATCGTATGTGGGGTCGTCTAGGCCTTCGCGTCGACCAATACGGCACGTGCTGACATCCAGACTCATGCGCACACCAGTGTGGAACGGGCCTTGTCGTTCAGCTGCTGCTGAGGCATTGGCGTAGCGTTGGGAGACAGCTCTCCTAGCCTGCCAGAGGATCTAAGAGGGGAGGGGGGGCCGGAGAGACGAATGCGGGAGAAGGGGCGAGAACGCAACGTGGAAGAAAAAAATGGAAACATGGCGGGAGGTGGAGCAAGGAAATGCGGAAACCGGGGTCGCGGGCAAGCGGAAGGGGGGGGAGGGGAGAAGGAAGAGGACAAGGTGAGAGGGATGGAAGGTGGGGATAGATGGGCAGGGAGAGAGAAGGGAACGGAAGCCGAACGCTCGACGTCGCCATCTTGGGCCGACATTAGGACGTTGGAAGATCTCCAGGGCCTCCCAGGCTGACCACCCAAAAACACCGTTCCCCGGCCCTCACGCAGCCCCTGGAAACCCAAGCAAAAGGGGTAGGACTTCGCGTGGTTTGCCCAGGCCTCCAAAGGGTACCGTACAGTCGGGTTCACCGCCGCGCCAGCCAGCACGGGCGGGCCACTCTCGAGAATCAGCAAGATGGCGAGGGACCTCTGTCCCGCACTCGGCTGGCAGGCAGCTCCGAACGCGCGCCTAGCAGAGTGCAGCTCGCGGTCCGGAAAAATATCGGATCTCGTTGCCGCGCGCCAGACCAGGGATGGGGGCCCGGCGCGAAGATGCGTTTTACATGGCGGCCCTGGACCTGCCCATGACGCCAGATACGGGCGACCTTATGTTCCAGGTGTCTCTGGCGTCGCATAAACTTCGTAGACTTACCCGTGCGAAATACCTGTCCCCCAAGGTCCTCGGTCCCAATGTTCACCCCCGAGTTGTCTGCCGCTCCAGCCACCTCTCCAAGCTTGCCGTGGATGGTGGTGATTTTTGCAGACGAAGCAGACAGCGCTGCCTTCTCCAAGGACACCTGGCGACCTCGGCCGTTCACGGTAGCGCCATGTATATGCGTGAGCCTTCCACCATGCCCTCTCCCTGAGCCGATATGCCGTAGTCGCCTATGCTGGTGTCTAAGCGAACGCATGTCGGAATGCGCGTGGTGACCAGGTCTACGCCCCGAACCGCGAAGACTCAAATCCATCCAGTAAACATAGAACAGCCCGCTAGAACCCCCACGCTGGCGTAGCATGACCCCGTCGCCACCCCTTCTAAGGATGGGAATGTGGGCACCTGGCAAAAAGGCGGCAGCCGGCCTCGCCAGTGTCAATGGGAAGGCCAACTCTGGACATCGTCGGTACAATGACAACAAGTTTCCGAGCTCGTAAAACTTGAACAGGCACAAGTGCAAAGTAGCAACTGCCTTCCCGCCTCTCTCGGCCAGCTCCGAACGGAAAACTTCGCGCCAGACTGCGAGCGATGCCGGAGAAACGCTGCCCCTGCGAAGTACGTTCGCCTGACATCCGCCCCCCACTTGGCCGCGCGGCCCCCGCGACGTCGCCCCCGCGGGCGATGGGCGGGGCCAAAGATGCCGGCTGAGCGGAACCCTGCGATCGGGTTGGTCAAAAAGGCCGCCGCAATGACCCGCAGCTCTTTCGGCACCGCTCCAGAGCGCTCATCGCGGGGATCCGAAAGCACAAGCAATCGCAACTCGTGCATGCATGGTGACCAGATGGAATCCATCGACAAGCACGGCGGCGCGCCGCGCCTTGCCGCGACGCGCGGCGCGCAGCTCCTCGGCCGCATGCGCGGGGATCGGGCCCGTCGGCGCGGAAGTTGCTCGCAAGACCCCGGGCCGCGATTGCGCTCCAGAGAGATGCAAACCCACCTGCTTCGGACTCCAGCAGCGAGAGCGGGCCCGCGAACACAGCGCCCTCAGCGGACACAGCGGCGGTCGGCGTCCACGGGCCGTTGCCCCGTTTATCAGAGGGCGCGCCGCCCGTCCTCCATGGTTAGACCCATCCAGAATAAACCTCCTCCACTTCTGGTAAGATCGGTTACGCTCGGAAGCCAGAACCGCCTGTTGCGCATCATCAGTGCTAGTAAATAGACTCTCCCCTTGCTTCCAATCATATCCAGGCCCAGATGCATTGCTCCGTGGACGGATGTCAGAAATCTCAATGATGTTTCGCCGCGCACGTTGTGTTCTTGATGAGGCGGGGGGGGGGGGGCTCGACAAGCTCTCGAAGTTTTCAAAAATGCGTAGGCCCAGGGTCAGCGGCGCCAGCCAGCAGACAAGTGTGCAACTGGGTGACCGTCCATTTCGCAGCGCGCACATGGTCTACCTCGTCCGTGGACTGGCTGGGCTTGAGTAGCGGGGTTTATTGGAGGGATGGTTGCTTGCCTCGAGCACTGATGCAAGGTAAATCAGCGCGCTACGCCGCAATCAACTCCTGCCATGCCGCGCTGGCCCAGACGCGATACAACGCAGTGGATCTCTCCTGCAGAGGTCGGATCTGCCCCTCATCGACAGAGCCAGCTACCTGCAAAGCTCCCCTGCGAGTGGAGCGGGCACTGGGCCGACAACATCAACAACTGGCAATGACCTTGTCGAGCCCCCCAGAAACGAAGCGGCCGTGCATCTCCAAGCCTCTTGCGCCCGAACCTGTCCCAAACATGCTCCCGGGGCACGCCCGATGCCCTGTTGAACGGTTGGCCGCCCCAGAATCGTGGGACTGCTCAGGGGTCATGTGAGGGATCTGCCCCTATCGCCGACGGCCCCACGACGGACTCAACGAACAAGGCGACCCGACCTATGATGTCGGCGTTGCTATCTGAGAGGTCCTGGCAGTGGCGCAGGCACATGCTGCAGTTGCAGGGCGCGGGGCTGCCCCTCGGCAAATGCGCCGGAATGCCCATGGCTCTCCCTGGGACAACCGTGGAAACACAGCTCGTGGGCTCAACATAAATCATAGACCAATATTCCAACTCCTCCGGAAGACCCTCCCCGCTCCGCGCGGAGGGCGGGGGATGAGCACGCGGCTCACTCTTGACGTTTGGCCCACCTGCTGGCCGCATTGAACGCAATCTTCGGGCGCGAGGTGGTGCTCCTGCACCAGCGCCGCAACGGCCCCTGTCCAAGGGCTTCGGGCACCACGGGGCAAACATATCTATCAAAACCACGGGGCTCGAACTCGCTGGAACTTTAAAAGCCGCGGGGGGGGGCACCTCTGTTGCCAAACGACGCCTATGAAAAAGAACGACGTCCCACCTTAAGGCCTGGAACACTAAACAGGCTGCGCTGCTGCCGGCTCGTCGCCCCCACCCCTGCCAGGCCCCTTGGCGGCGAGTAGCTGCTGGGCTCGCAGACGCAAGGTGACAGAGGCAGGCTGGCCACCAGCAGCAGCGGCAGCAGCGGAGGAGCTGCCAATCGAAGAGGCGCGCCCCCGTCTCCGACGACTCCACCGTCGAGGGCTGGCCCAGCGCTGGCGCGGGCTGGCCAGGCGAGGCGGCAGGCGAGGCAGGAATCTCAGGAGCAGCGACCTGGCATGTGTTGCGCTTCCCCTGCTTGCCCTCGAAGGGGCTGCGCGTGGCTGCGCGGCGCTGCCGTTAAGTCTCGGTCTGGTACCGCAGCTCGCCGAACAAGCGCTGACCTGCATCGTGGGCGCCCTTCGTGAGCTCTTTCGTTCTCGTCTCTTCTCCCGCAACTCAGAACGCGCCAGTTCCAACGAAGCGCGGCTGCCGTCCAGGATGTCCACCAGCGGGAAACCTCCTTTCGGCTGCCTCTTGACGTTCGCCTGCTGCATCTCAGCGACGGCGGCCGTGCAGTCCGACTCGGCTGTGTCCAGCTCCGCGACCACCATGGCCACCACCTGCTGCCGCACGCGCAGCTCGCGATGCAGCTGCTCGGCGAGGGCGGTCTCCCTGTCGGGGCGCTGCTCCGGCCGAAGTCGCCGACGGTCCGCCTCCCGTGCACGGTTCTGCGGGGAAGACCCAAGGGCTCGACGAAAGTCGAGCCCTGTCTGGTACTGCGCCACGAGGTTCGGGTTGTTGTCGGTCTTCCGCAACAGTCGTATCGCCTGCTCAAGCTTCTCGAAGCCGGGCTCAGGGCCAACGCCAGTGCGACCTGGAGGAACTGGCCCTAGGGCGAGCCACCTGCTGCAACACCTGGAAGCGGGGGGGATCCATCCGCAATAGCCAATTGCCCGCAAGGAGGGGCAAACCATCGAGAAGCACCATAATGTTTGCAATGCGTCCACATCGGCTTGTCCGTTTGCAGGTACAGCATCCGCACGCCAACTTCTCACTCGATGACGGCTCCCGCCACGGAGCTCCCTGAAAGCCGCGGTGCTGCTGCAGCCACTTGTGGCCTCTCTTACAGTTCCCCCATCTGCGCCATGACTTTGTGCTCGGCGGGGCCATGGCAAGGAAATCGTGACAGGACGGGCGGCAACGCTGTGACCCGCCAGTGCAAGTAAGCAAGCAAACAAGCAGCCCGATCGAGTCAAAGCTCGGCCCGGGATCGGACGCATCACTGTTGGTGCTCGGTTGACAATTGCGAAAAATCGTCTTCGCGCGTTGCAGGATCATTGGTAAGAGCCGCTTCTAGCCAGTCTGTTCCAAAATCAGCGTCCGAGAATCTTCGCAAACCGTCGTCCCATCTCAGTGCGGGTCGCCCACGTCCACGTCAAGCTCCAAGAAACGTTGTAGGGGGATGCCAACGAGATAATCTGGCAGGCCAGCTACCAATCAGACTGCCCACTCGATAAGCTAATCTGAACTGCCTGCGCAGCAACTGAGCGCTCCAGTCTTCCATCGGATATTTCGCTAAAGCAGAATCGATGTTCCATCGCAGATCTGAAGATCTGCATTGGCTAAAAAAGATCTGCGCTGACAAAGTCCAGACAAGCCTGGCCCAGCACGGCTGCGCGAGGAGGGAGGGAGAGGAGGAGGAGGAGGAGGAGGAGGAGGAGGAGGAGGAGGAGCAAAAGGAGGAGAAGCAAAAGGAGGAGGAGCAAAAGGAGGAGGTCACTCTTCTCCCCCGCCCGCAAGGCGGCCGGCCGCGCCTCAGGCTCCTCTCCCCGGTAGGGTCCCAGCTGCAGCGCAGCAGCGACCGCCGCCGCGGCGCAGGCAACTGGCGGTGTTGGCTGGGCCCCACCCCCACTCCCTCTCCTCCTCCTCTCCTCCTCCTCCTCCTCCTCCTCCTCCCTCCTCCTCTCCCTCCTCCTCCCTCCTCCTCCTCCTCCTCCTCCTCCTCCTCCTCCTCCTCCTCCTCCTCCTCCTCCTCCTCCTCCTCCTCCCCCTTTTCCTCCTCCTCCTCCTCCTCGTCCTCCTCCTCCTCCTCATCCTCATCTGCCCCTCCTCGCCCTCCTCCTCGGACTCCCCGCCTCCCTCTGCGCACTCCTCCTGCCCCTGTTCGCACTGCTCATGTTGAAAAGCTCGCTCGATATCTTCGTCGTCATCCTCGTCCTCCTGCTCCTTTACAGACACGGACTCCACCTCTTCCTCCACCTCCTCCTCCTTCTTCTCCTCCTCCTCGTCGTCGTCATCATTCTCCTCCACACCTCCCCCATCGGACTCCTCCTCCTCCTTCTCCTCCTCTTCCTCCCTTCCCTCCGCCTTCTCTGGCTCCGGGTCCCCCTCGATTCCTCCCGACCTGGGTGCACCGCCCAGGCCTCTGCCTCGCCACAGCCCAGCGTTTCGCTTCGAAGCGGGGCTCTCGGCTGAATCGCAGGCCCATCAGGTGCTAGGCTTCCAATGGGGCCCTTCTTGTAGTGAACAGGATGCCTGGTAGGGACTCGTGAGGAGCGGAGTTGAGACAGGAGTGTGTATTGCGGCATCGCCACTGCAGCGTAGGCTGACTGAGCAGAACCTGATCCTACTCATCCTGTGCCACCAACCCCTCCTCCTCCACCTCCTCCTCCTCCTCATAATCATCATCATCATCAACATTGTACTCGCCAGTATCAGAGCACATGTATCATAATCAACAACAGCATCAGCATCACCAACATCACCAGCATCATCATCATCATCATCATCATCATCATCATCATCATCATCAACATCAGCAGCATCATTATCCTCATTATCCTCATTATCCTCATTATCCGCATTATCCTCATCATCACCATTCCTAATCGTTGCCATCAGCATCACCATCACCATCACCATCATCATCATCATCATCATCATCATCATCATCAGCATACTCCTCATAATCATCACCATCGTAATCATTCGCATCACCACCATATTAATAATCATCAACATCGTCATCACCATCATCATCATCACCATCATAATCTTCATCATCAACAACAAAAGCATCATCAGCATCACCATTCTCACCAACCTCAGCATCACCACCACCACCATCATCATCAGCAGCAGCATCGCCAACATGATCACCCACACCATCATCTTCAACATCAGTATCATGTTCATCATCGTCATCGTCATCGTCATCGTCATCATCATCCTCACCGTCATCATCATAATCATCTGCACCATCATCCTCACCATCATCATCTGCTTCCTCCTCGTTCTCCTTCTCGTTCTGCTTCTCTCTCTCTCTGTCTCTCTCTCTCTCTCTCTCTCTCTCTCTTTGCTCATCATCATCCTCGTCAAAGTTCTGTTGCTCCACATTCCCCCCGTGTTTTTTTCATACTCGTTGTCAGGATATGATGGTTGACTAAATATGTCACCAGGAGGAGGCGCTGCGCTTGTTTCACAGTGCACCCTGCACGTTACACTTTGCAGCTCGACTCGGGTGGCACCTTAGGCCTGGTATATTCAATTCGAGACTTCCCGAACCCCCCACTCTCAAGCCTCGTGTTGCAAGGGAAGTGTTGTTGCTTCTGCACGAGAACGCAAGATACCAAAAGCTAAACACACAGGGGCGTCTGCAGTAAACTGGCAATGGCGATGGACACACATACTGATGCCCGTTACCATGAGTGATGGGGTGTCTTTCTTTGGTGGCGCGTGGGCAGGGATAGACGGCGGGAGTTCACGAGTCCCTTGCCTATTGCGAGTCCAAGGCCGTCGTCTGCGCAGCAAATAGACACACTGTAAGCTAACAGCGGCTACGATAGGCAGCTGGCAATGTAACTCAGAAAACAACAGCATACCAAACGCCTTCATGGTCTGACTACTGCATGATGCTGTCGGGGATGCTGCCCGTGGCTGGCCGCCATGCACATACTGCTCTGCTCCTCATCCCCATCACCCCCCTCATCCTCCGCATCTCCTCCGCCTCCAACTGCAGCTGTCGCTGCGAGTCTTGATCCCTGCTTCTGGGGTCACCCGGCCCCAGACATGCGACGCCGTGTCCTTTCAACACGCGGTCTCGGGAGTCCCGGCCCATTACAGGGGCCAATGGTTTGTCCTCTTGACGGTCCTCGGGCTCGGCGAGGGCCCCCAGAGGCCGAACACGGTAAACACAAAACAAAAAACTACTGCAACCCTCGTGCTTTAACATCGCGATCATGCCTGGTACGTCGCACATCGCGCCCCGCGATGCGAGACCTCCGCGGCAGATCGCTCCGCCCCGCCTCCGGAGACGGGCAGCCCTGCGGCACCGCTGGCGACGCGCGAAGCGAGATTTCATCTCCGCGCCCCTGCGGGTGACAACAAGCTGCTTCAGATCGGTCACGTCCCTCGTCTGACCCGAATGATCCTCGTCGCGAGAGGCGACGACGGGGGGGGACTGGCACAGGCAGGCAGTTCTGCGCTGGATCGGATCGCGAAATCGGATCGGATCGAGAGCGGGTCGAATCGTCAACGGATCGTCCCGAATCGGATAAGTATTGAATCGCCGCGTCCCGCTTCCGGCTGGAACCCTGGCCGACGCCAGTGAATATAGAGCCGCATCCCCTCGAATTGGAATCGCGGCCCCAGCTGGCGAATCGCATCGCATCGACTCGGATCGCGGGCGGCCATGGGAGGGGACCATCGACCTGGCATCGGCGATACATCGCCGATGGCATCGCCGAGGAGGAGGAGGAGGAGGAGGAGGAGGAGGAGGAGGAGGAGGAGGAGAAGGAGGAGGAGGAGGAGGAGGAGGAGGAGGAGGAAGGAAGGGAGGAGGAGGAGGAGGAGGAAGGAGAGGAGGAGGAGGAGGAGGAGGAGGAGGAGGAGGAGGAGGAGGAGGACGAGGCGGAGGAGGGGGAGGATGAGGACATCGACCTGGAATCGGCGATACAACGCCGATGGATCGGCGACAGGCCCCCGAGCGCGAAACCGCGCGCTCCTGGGCGGGGAGGGCCACCGGGCCTCTGTCGGCGATCCATGGACGATCGGGGGCCAAGGCGCCCCCACCTGAGCCCATACCCCCCCGATGGTGTGTATGGGGTTAGAGTACAAAGGTACAGGACCCCTGATCCGTAGGTAGAGGAAGGAGGGAAAGATAGGGATCTGTTCCTCCTGTGCGACCAGCGTCCTGGTCTCTTCCAGTGCCTGAGCCGATAAGGCAGGCAAATTGGCGAGTGAGGGGTAGAGATGAAGGTATGGGACGGGTTCCTTCCACACATGGTTGCCCCTGCAGGAGAGCCCAGAATCGAGTCGACAAGTCGGATCGGAAGTCGACCTGAATCGGATCGACGGAACTCGGCAGCCGCATCGGAAAACAAAGGGGAATCGGCAGACACCCGCAGGCTGGCATAGGCCTCTCAGCTGAGAAATCGGACCCCAGATCGGAATCCGACACCGCATCGAGCCGGCATCCAAGACATCCGACGTCTCGATTTTTTCGAGACGCGGGCCCCCGACCTCCCGACCACTTCCATGGGACCGGTTTTTCATCCCGAGTCGTTTTTGGACGGTCCCGAGGCCCAGCGAGGGCCCCGAGAGGCCAAAAACAATGAAAAACCTCTGCCTCGATTTTTTCGAGACGCCCGATGTCTGGGATCGGAATCCATCGAGATCGACGTCGAATCGAACCGGAGGCATCGACATGAGCCATGCCCCCGCCGTCGATCTCACTCTCGGGCCGTATAGCCTGGGCCACCCCGGCGGCCGAGCGGCACCGCCCATGCTGCAGAGGCACCTCCACAGCTGAATGGGGCCCTGGGACACACATAAAGAAATACATACAAATAACAGGATTCCCCATATTTCCCATACTTTTGTGGTTTTCATCTTCCCCCCTACTCCCCATATCTTCCCATATTTTCTGGGAAATCGACGATTCATTGTGTCTGTGTGCTTTTTCCCCTCCTGAACAGCACGCCCCCAGGCGGGGAGGTGTGCATGCAGCTGCCGGAGGGCATCCCGGGGCCTGAGCGCCGCCGGGGGCCGGAAGCAGCGCCCGGGCACCTCGACTGTCGAAGCCTCCTCTCGCTCGTCGGGCCCGAGGCGGGGGCACTCGGGTCGTGCTGCTGACGCGTGCTCGTGCCCTCCGCGCCCCATCCACACGCCAGAGCTCGACCTGAAGCGGTGTTCGTTGTCGTGTTGTGCTCGGTTGCCTTCGTGTGTTGCGCTGTGCTCGCTCCCCCGTTGTGTCTTCGACAGGGCGCGCCGGTTTCGTGTTGTGCTCGCTTTCCTGCGTTTTGCCCGTATGATGTTCCAACCCACAGTAGCCCTGATCACCAGAAAGAACTTCGAGCACCAAGAAGATACACAAACTGGAGGGTTTCACGTGTCGGGCCCTGGGAGGCGATACTCGATCGACGCTGTTTCGATACTTTTCTGGCTGTTCGAAATTATTTAAAGGACTTGGTCCTGAGGACGATGGGGGCAACATTAGTGTTGCCTTCGTTCCGCCTGAGTTGCTCAACGAAGACCCAGCGAGGGCGGTCCACGACCTCGCCAGACCACCACCTATAGGTCGATCCTCCTCCTCCGCCTCCTCCTCCTCCTCCGCCTCCTCCTGCTCCTCCTCCTCCTCCCCCTGTTCCTCCTCCCTCCTCCTCCTCCTCCTCCTCCTGCTCCTTCTCCTCCTCCTGTCCTCCTCCTCCTCCTCCTCCTCCCTTCCTCCTCCTCCTCCTCCTCCTCCTCCTCCTCCCTTCCTCCTCCTCCTCCTCCTCCTCCTCCTCCTCCTCCTCCTCCTCCTCCTCCTCCTCCTCCTCCCCTCCTCCTCCTCCGTCTCCTCCTCCTCCGCCTCCTCCGCCTCCTCCGTCTCCTCCGCCTCCTCCAGAAGGAGCGGCGGCTGGCCCTCCAGTTCTTGTCGTGGGCGTCCGCGCTCGGCCCCAGGATCCTGCTCCCGTCGGGCGAGGGGAACATCCGCTGGTTGAGCTGGGGGCCGCGGCGCCGCAGACGACGAGGGCAGGGGGGAGGGAGAGGACCAGCGGGGGGGGGTGGGGAACGAGAAGGGCAAGACATGGAATTCGCCGACCCTGTCGGCGTGTGTGAGAGGCGTTTCCGTTTGAGTCGTCGTCGTCGTCGTCGTCACCGCTCCCCCGTGCCCCTGTCCGTGGGCCATCCTGATCAAACGTTCTAGCCAAAGAGAAACCGAGTCGACGGGAAGCCCCTTTCCATCGATCTCTTCCCCGCCAGGGGGGCAAGGGTCCTGTGAGGATCCCTGAGGGGGGGTTCTGGGGGTCCCGGAGGGGGATAAGGGCGCGGGGTCCTGGGGGTTGTGACCCCACCCCATGGGGGAGCACCCCTCCTTGGCAGAAGCTTTCCCTTTCGATTCCTTCCCTCCCAGATGCCTCCAGCTCCCCCGACAAAGTCGGCGGCACCGGCTGTAAGGCCTTCACAACATGATGTGTTCTCTCTCACGGGCACAAGCGGCCGCCGAGAGGTTGTACGCCTAAGGCGATCCAACCACGAGGCTGGAGTGCGTTAGAAGACCAGCCGGCACAGAAGGAGAAGGAGGAGGAGGACATGTGATCGGAGGGGGTGGAGATGGGAGTAGAAGAACAGGCCAGCGTAGAAGGGGGGAAGAAGAGAAGTAGGGGGAGAAGGAAGAGGAGAATGTGGAGCACTGCTATGGGCTGCGATTTACGAGGACCACTACCCGACGAGGAAGAGGAGGAAGAGGACGAGATGAGAAGTGAGGAGGGTGAGGAGGAGAAGTGAGGAGGAAGAGCCGGGAGCTAACGATGCTACTGAGCTCGCGCGCGGCATGTCCCGCCTGGTCGTGACTGCAGAGCCGTTGCGACAGCGTGCTGTCGTGTGTGGATTACCGACCGTTCTTCTCATCGCGGTGCTCTGCTACCCACCTGGCCCCGCGCTCAACCTGTGCCCAACCATCTGTGCCGGGGTCCGCTGTACACCCTGGCGAAGTAGCTCTCTAGAGCATGCATACACACATGCACTTGAAGGGGAGCTCGCGTACAACTGTGGTTGTTCCCGTCGTCGAAAAATCTATGGGACCAAGCATGCACTTGCACAGAACGGCATCCTAACCATCAGCTCCACTGGCGCCATGGCCACAAGCGTCAGACAAGAAATTCGTTCAGCGTCTTGGAGGCCCACAAAGGTTGGTGGGAAAGCGCCCTCCTGCCCATTGCAGATGAGCTGGAACTCGATAGCCTCCCCAGCAGGAACTTCAACCGCCGCCGTGAATGTCGTGGCGTGTTGCCTTGCGCCGAGGAGGTCGGCATGGGGGAGGGAGCGGATGGAAGCGAACAGCGCGGCGGGGCGGGACGGTCGAGGCCTACGACGCAGCTGAGCTGGGCGGAGGTTGCCGGAGAGAGGCTGGCGGCTGGGAAGGAGCCCCTTATACCCTCGGGTCGCTGCTTCCTCCCTCGTCCCTCCCCGCCCAGTGTCGCTTCTTCCTCCCTCGTCCCTTCCTCCTCCCTTCCTCCCTTCCTCCCTCGTCCGGGTCGCTTCTTCCTCCCTCGTCCCTTCCTCCTCCCTGGGTGGACAGAAGCCCCTTCACAGCAAAGCACCCTCTGATAAAAGCGAGCCCGGACCAGACCCAGCGGGCACAGGCCCGCGAACATGGCGGGTGCGGCGACCTCTCGAGGGGCCGGACAAGGGGCAATTTGCTCATCGACCCGGCAGGGCGCGGGCTCTCATAGCCTCCGAAAGGCGATTGGCCCTCACACGGCGGCGGCAGGCACGGCAGAGGCGACCACCGCAGCAAGGCCAAGAGAGGCACCCAACGATCCTCCTCCTCGTCGATCCTCCTCCCCTTCCTCGTCCAACCTCGTCCTCCTCCTCCTCCTCCTCCTCCTCCTCCTCCTCCTCCTCCTCCTCCTCCTCCGCGTTCTCCTCATCCTCCCCGTCGTCCTCCTCCACCGCGTCCTCCTCCTCCTCCTCCTCCTCCTCCTCCTCCTCCTCCTGCCCCTCCTCGTCAACGCTCCTCATCGTCGATCCTCCTCGTCGATCCTCCTCCCCCACCGTCCACATCGATCCTCCTCCTCGCTCCTTGCGGAGGGGTGGGTGTGGGGGGGGGGGGGGGCAGACCCGCCTGCACCTCAAAAACGGGGCACACGGTCGACGGATGGGGGGAAGATGCGGGTGATGAGCTGCCCTCCTCACGCCCCGCCTGGCCACCTCCACCTCGCCCTGCTCTTCCTCCCTCTCGATCCACCCCTCACCCACCCACCCCACCACACACTCACACACACACACACACCAAACAAAAAAACGACGCATCATTCTGACTCCCCCTCCTCCTCCTCCTCCCTCCTCCTCCTCCTCCTGCTCCTCCTCAACCTCCTCATCCTGTTTTGCCTCCTGCTCCCCTTGCTCCTTATCTTCCTCCTCCTCCCCCTCAGCATCATCACCAAGCCCATCACCATCACCATCATCATAGCGTCATCACCATCACCATCATTAACAGCATCATCAGCATCATCACGAGCATCAGCATCATCATGATCATCATCATCGTCATCATCATCAGCATCATCATCAGCAACAACATCAGCATCGTCATCAACATCATCATCAGCAGCATCATCGGCAACATCATCATCATCATCATCATCATCATCATCATCATCATCATCATCAGCATCATCATCATCATCATCATCAGCAGCAGCAGCAGTATCATCATCGTCATCATCAGCATCGTCATGATCATCCATATCCCTCTCGCGTTCCCTTCTCCTCCGGAAGCCTGGAAACTGCGGGCACTGCGTCCGCTGCCTTCCTCATCCTCCCCCGCCCTCCCCCTCCCCCCTTACCCGTTTCCTCTGGGTGGCTTAGGTTTCACTTTAACTTGAAGCTCTTGTGTTGCGCAGCGTGCGGAGTTTTACTCCAATCAGATCCAGAACCTTGCGTCAGAGTTCACGCGTACATGCAGCACATCATCATCATCATCATCATCATCATCATCAGCAGCAGCATCATCATCATCATCATCAACATCGTCATCATCAGCAGCATCAGCATCACCATCATCATCATTATCAACATCCTAATCATCATCAGCAGCAGCAGCATCCGCATTATCATCCGCATCATCAGCAGCCTCATCATTATCATCATCATCATCATCATCATCATCATCATCATCATCATCATCATCATCATCATCATCATCATCATCATAATCAGTATCAGCATCATCACATTCAACATCATCATGCTCATGAGCATCAGCATCATTATCACCACCACCACCACCACCATCATCATCATCAGCAGCATCATCATCGTCGTCATCGTCATGTTCATCAACATCAGCATCCTCCTCCTCATCATCACCTTCGCCATCATCCATTCCCTTGCCTTACTCCTTCCACTCCTCTCACTCCTCCCCGACGACGAGAACTCGAGGCAGCCCGAGGGAGCCGAGCCCTGGCCACGGCCTGCGTGGATAAACGGCCCCTGGCCGGGCAAGCTGTTGCTGCGCCGCCTGTGAACGACACGGAGCTCACTGCAGGCGTGACGGAGAGGCTGTCGTCGAGACCGGTGCTGAGAATAGAAGAGGACGCCGAAGAGAAAACACCATGAACTCCACCTTCTGGCACTCCGCGAGGATCTCTTGGATCTGCGCTGGGCCCCTCTCCCTGGCGCGCGGAGCGCGCTAGGGGCGGCGCTGGAGGCGCCGCCAGGGGTGCCCATCGCAGATCCAAGAAATCCGCGCTGAGCGCCACAAAAGTTTGTGTTCATGCCGTTTTTTCTTCTTCGAGATAAGGCGATTCAACGAAGTTGAGCCAAAAGCACAGCGCAGTCGGAGGAGCTGAGCCTGGTCAGGGCGCCACTGACCGTGTCAGGGTCCCACCGGTGTGAGTGTGTGTTGTGTGAATGTGTGTGTGTGCGTGTGCGTGTGCGTGTGTGTGTGTGTGCTTCTGTTTGTATGTGCTTGTGTTTGTGTGTGTGAGTGCGTGTGTGTGTGTGTGAGTGAGTGTGTGTTTGTGTTTGTGGTTGTGTGTGTGCGTGCTTGTGTGTGTGTGTTTGTGTGTGTATGTGTGTGTGTGTGCGTGTGTGTGTGTGTGTGTGTGGGTGTGTGGGTGCGTGTGTGTGCGAGTGTGTGTGTGTGTGCGAGTGTGTGTCGCACGTACTCAAAGGGAGTCCTCAGAGGTCACCAACGAGCCCTAACGAGCCCTACGGAGCCTCTCGAGTTCTTGTGAGCTCGACGAGTGCACAGGCAGCACGTCGCAATTCGTACAAGTGGCCTTCCCAAGCTTCCTCAGAGGGGTTGGGCGGCGGGCACAGAACTCTGGCAGAGTTATAAATATGATAGGCGGTGACCACAGCCTCAATTATGGATGGGCTGGGCGATCCGCCGAGGCCGAGACGACAGACTGCACAACTCGGAATCTCGGCCTGGGGCGGGTAAGCGATAGACCATAGAACATTACAGTCCAAATAGTGCGAGAATGTGTCAGGCGCAGCTATCAGAGGAGGCTCCCTGCACCGAAAGCGACACACGCCGACGCCAGTCTGTACGTGAAGGCGGCCCGATGTGAGCCAGGCGCCAGAGACCGTCTTTAGAATCGCACTCTGCCACGACGGCGCGAGACGCGAAATCGCATCTCTCAGGCCGGCCCACCGCGCCTGGCACGACACCGCGTGGGAACCGCAGGCCCTGGGACACCCGACGCGACCTTCAACCTCGAGCCCCCACGCCTTCAGACGGCGCTGGATCAGGAGGTGGAGGAGGTCGGGATGGAGCGAGGCGTGCAAAGAGGAATACAATGTTTTCTGCGCACGCACTCGCACGCCCTGCTCGGCTGTGTCGCGGATGGCACGGTCGAGTGCCCTCCTCGCAGCGGCGGCTGGGCGCGCGAGCACACGATCATTCACGAAATCCTCCTGCGCGGAGGCAAGGAACTGTACGATCGGCCTGGTCTGCCAATACGGCGGGGACAATGTGCCGCTGCCAATGACCCACAGGCTCCCGTGGTCCAGGACCTGGCCCTGCAGCCATGCGTGCAGCTCCTTCCAGTTGCTCACCGTGGAGAGGGCAGCGCGCATGGCCGCCGCACAGCCCGTGGCCAGCATCGAGCGGATACGAAGGCCAGGCGCCCACGCACCCAGCGCCAGGAAGTCGTGCCTGCCCAGCGCCTGTGGGGGCATGCGCCACAACTTGGCGACCGCCCACCCCTCCTTGGCCAGCAGCATCTTCGGGGTGGCCGCCAGTTGTTGGAGATATCCCAAGACAGGCAAAACACGTCGATTATAAAGCCGAGCAGCCAGCGACGGGGCCGCACCGCTCATCGCGATGTCCACGACGCGGGAGAGCCACTTCGCCGCCGCCTTCCTCCAGATGTCCCGCTCCGTCGCGCCAGGGCCGACAGCGAAGCCCAGGTACTCCCCCTGGTCGCGCACCTGCATGCAGCACCACTCGCCCAGGGCGTCGGCCAGCCACCCTCTGAGATCTGCGACGAGCTCGTCCGTGAGCGTGCCCTCCAGCGGGATCAGCACGCACTTGTGGAGCTTCAGGTGCAAGCTGGCGAGCGCCCGAGCAGCAGCGAAGGCCCGCCACATCCCACGAAGCAAGCGGCGCGACCGCAGCACCACTCCGACGTCGTCAGCACATACCCCGAGGGCGGAGAGGCGACTGGCATCGCGGTCAGTGTACTGCATCATGTGATGGATGAACGGGTTCATTGCAATGGCCCAGAGACTCCCAGAAGACGGACATCCCTGGGCGAGCCCGCATGAGACGCAAACAAAATGCACCATCGCGCCCGCGAGCTCCACATACGCCGTGGGGAGCCAGTAGAGCGCCTCCAGCAAGTACCGAACGCCTCCCACGAATCCCGAGTGGATCAGCATGAGCAGCATCCATTCGGTCATCAGCGAAGGGAACGCGTCGCCAAAGTCGAACAGAGCCATGATGGGCTTGCTCGACTCCTGCAGCCCCGCGGCGCGCGCGGTGGCGTCCAGCAGGCAGATGTTGTCCAGGAAGTTGCGGCCCTGCAGGAAGCCCCGCTGGGGGGCAGGCGAAGCCTTCTCTATGGGCCCCTTGATCCGCGCATTCACCGCCGAGGCCACCAGCTTGCAGTCCGCATTCTTGAGCGCAATCGCCCGCGTGGTGCAAGGCGTGCGAAATGCGCCTTCCACGAGATCCTCCTCGCACGAGCCCTTCGGGAGGAAGGCGAGCAGGTGGTCGTTCCAGTCGACGGGCGGAGGCCTGCCAGACGCTATCTCCAGGACCACGTCCTCCAGCGCCGC